GGAAACATGGAAGTGGGAAGAGATTAACCCAAGTTCGTATATGCATACCAGAGGTCCAGTGCATGAAAATTAGTGTGCTTGGTAAGGGAGGGGGTCCCTCAGCCCAACCTGCTCCCTCTCGCAGTCCGGGAGCCCTCAGGGGATGCTTGACTGATGGCTTACAGTCTGGCCTCCCTCTGAGGGGGGCGACCAGCAGGTCAACCCTGTCCCCCATCACCCTGCCACCAGTTGCCTTCCTTTGCAGGAGACGACAAGGCCCCGCCCCCTGCCAAGCAGTCATCTGCCAGTCAGTCGATTTGCATTTATTATATAGGACTAGAGGCCCAGTGCACAGATTGGTGCGCTGGTGGGGTCCCTCAGTCTGGCCTGTGGGGATCAGGCCAGATCTGTGTGCCAGGCCTCCAACATCCCCAGAGGGATCCTGAATTGCAAGAGGGTGCAGGCCAGGCTGAGGGACCCCAATGGTGCATGAATCCATGTACTGGGCCTCTAGTATGTGGTAAGTGTATTTGGAACTACAGTGCATTTGGAAGTGTTTCCTACCGTAACATGTGGATGTGTAGACGGTCACAGGAAGTGCAGCCGGGAATTATCTTTGAAAGTGGTTTTAAAAATACTTCTATAGAGGAAGGTGGCTTGGTTTTCTTCTTCTAAATACTATTCTTCAAATCTCATTGTAATAGATGTAGTGCTGGCTAACTGCCCCACCACCTCCCCCTCCCCTCGGAGTTGCTATAGCCTTTACAGTGACAGGCATTTTGCTGGCTTTGTGGACACCTCATTAAAGTTAGTGGTACACTTATGAGCAGGTTTTGTCCAATTAGCAGAAGTGATGTGTACCTTGACCAAGAAAACAGATTGCCTTTCTTTTTTCTCCTCCTCCTTAAAGGTAGGGATGCAAATCTTTAAACATGCAGGTGAAGGCTATACCCTACAGATGACAAAGCAACACGATAGAAGGAGCCTGGTCATCTGACGCCAGGATACCTTACCAGTTTTGGAACATCTTCCAGGATTATATGTAAAAGGAAGAAAATTCTTTCAAGTCACCATGGTCTCCAAGTCTATTCTCTTTCACACCTAATACATATGTTGGCATTATCGCATCACTAGGGATGCAACAGTGAAGCTCATTTAACCCTGGTTACTCTGACTGACATACTGCTCGAGGTCCTAGCCAGAGCAATTAGGCAAGAAAACAAAATATAAGGCATCCAAATCAGAAAGGAAGAAGTAAAACCTGTCTCCTTTAGCAGGTGAGACTAAAGTTGGAAGATACAAAATCAATATATTATTATTTTTCTATTACACTAGTAATGGATTATCAGAGAAGTTAATAATGCAATTCCATAAAAATAATCTCAAAATATATTCAACTAAGGAGGTGAAATATCTGTACACTGAAAATGACAACCCTTTGATAGAAGATGCAAACAAATGGAAAGATACCCATATTCATGGATTGGAAAAATATTGTTAAATATCCATACTACTCACACTAATTTATAGCTTCAATAGAACCCCTATTAAAATTCCAATGGCCTTTACACAGAAATAAATAAACAGTCCTAAAATTTGCATGGAATCCAATAGACCCTGAATTGCCAAAGCAATCTTGATAAAAGCATCTTTCAAATTTGAACACGAAGCAACAGTAGTAAAAACAGCATGCTATTGGGTTTTCTGGTAGGAGTTCAAGATGGTGGCAGAGTAAGTGGAAGCTATACTCATCTCCTCCTAGGATCAATCTGGAATTACAACTAAAGAATAATCATCCTGGATAACCAACTGAAGACCAGCTGACGAGGAGTCTTATAAGCAAAGATTTATAGAAGAAGCCATATCAAGACTGGTAAGGGCAGAGACTCAAAAAGGCTGGGGCTGCTCTGCTCCCATGGGCAGCGGCTGAGGTTGTGGATGGACATCTTACCTGTGGGAGGTTCCCCTGAGAAGTGTGGGGCCCAAATCCCTAGCCAGAGATGTGAAGAGGCGCTCAAATAGCATCCAGCTGTGAAAAGCAGTAGGGTTTCTGTCTGCCAGGGGGAGACAGAGTCTGCTGCAGACACAGGCACCCTCTTAAAGGACCAATGCACAAAATTTCATTTGCAGCCACTTACATAGGACTCAGGTGGACTCAGAGTCGCCTGAAGAGGGCCAGGACCCCTGTGCTGAGCCATTCTTCATCATCTTGGGACCTCTGCATAGTGTTCCTGCTGTCATTCCTAAAGCTGTGAACTATGAACCATTTTATCATGGTTTAATATTGGTATGCTTAATAATAATCTTTTAAATCATCATCATTCTTGATATGGTCAGTGTTAATGACACATCTGTTCTACTTATTCTGGCATATATTTCTTATTTTTAAAAACTAAATTTATTGGGGGTGACATTAGTTAATAAGGTTATATACACTAAGTGGCCAGATTATTATGATCTCTGAATGCATAATAATCTGGCCACTCAGTATATATGTGTGTATGTGTGTGTGTATTAGAGGCCTGGTGCATGAATTTGTGCATGGGTGGGGTCTGGCCAGGGGGAGGGGATGTGGGCAGTTGGCTGGCCTGCCCACTGGTCGAACTCTTGGTCAAGGGGACAATTTGCATATTAGTCTTTTATTTTATAAGATATCACTGAGTGGCCAGATTATTATGCGTTCAGAGATCATAATCATCTGGCCACTCAGTGTAGGTTTCCAGTGATACATGTTCTATACATTGCATTGTGTGCCCACCATCCAAAGTCAAACACTTTCTGTTACCATACATTTGGCCAAGATATGGAAACTCCAGTGTCCTTTGATCGAAGATATGGTACACATATACAATTAAATATTCGTTCGATATCTTACATAACTTGTCCTCTCGATTGCAGCAGAGAACCCTTTTGAAAGCCAAAGCTTAATTACTTTAGTAAGTGGAAGCTATACTCATCTGCTTTAGGAAAAGTTTGAGAGACCTAAGTTTAATTAAATTCAGGTAATCTGAGAGAAAATTAGCTTTCCCCAGCATGATCTGGGCTGTATGGAAGAGACTATAATGAAACCAGATATTCTTTCCTAATTCCACTGGGAGACACTCCAGTTTTCTGGAACAAAACTAGGGTAGACCGTTCACCTTTTGATAGTTACTGTTGTTATGGAATGCTATCTTTGTTAAGGGATAGTAATCAAGGTCAAAGAGTAAGTTCTAAAAACACTGAAAATTGGGGAGTAACAAGGTTTCAGTGAAGAAAAAGTAATTGGCTAGAAATAAAGCAGAGCTGAAAAAGGGCACACCCAGCTCTCTGGCTAGGAGTTATCAGCTGGCCACAGCAACCTGATTGAAGATATGCACAAGGTACGTTTGGTGCACAGTGGAGCTGCTTCATTTTTCTGGTGTCTCATGACAATCTCTCCATATTCCTTTTTACCCCTAGTAAATTTAAATAGCTTTTACTAGTAAATGCAGAGATGACCCCCATTATATCTGATACCCTGGTGGAAAAGTTAGGGTACCTAACTAAGGAAAATTCCCATAAAATTTGCTAAGAATTAACCTTTCTCCTGTATTTTCCCAAATGGCTAGAGGGATATGGATGGAGGATATTTGTAACCCCATCATATAACATCATAATTCCTATTAATGTGGTATGGTCTCATTATTTAGTTAAAAGTGACTTCGCATAACAAATATACCTATCTCACAGAAATGTAAGGATTAATTTAGTTAATATCTGTATTTTTATATGTGTCTGGCCCATAGTAAACATGTAAAAAATATTAGCTATTATTTGGAGGCACATCAATATAGTTAGGAAGTAATGAGATATAGTAATAGGTTAATTAAAGTTATATAGTATTGTATTAAAAGTATGTAATATTATATTAATACTATTTCTTATTGATTAGGAACAGAGATTTTGAAAGTGGTTTATGCATCAATCTGGAAGCCCTTCAGGGTTAGGGCAGATTGGAATCATCTTTCTGGTAAGCAATTGTCAGCTTTGGTATTAAAGTTTATAGCTACCCTGGTGGTAATGGCTTTGAGCCCTCCAGTACCACCTGGAAGGCTGGGATAGGTGGTGGTGGTATTAGACAGAAGCTGAAAAATGCTCCCTTTTTCTGCAATAGCATTCCAAAAAACATACACAAAATGACCTATCAATGGAGAGGAACTTTGCAGAAGTTCCACAAAGAAATGAAATCTATTATAGTTCTGAGGGTGCTTTGCCTAATCTGGGAATAGGAAATACAAGAAGAATAGGAATCGGGATGTCTAGAGATCAGGACTTCCAGATTTAGTCCCATTAGGAGTTTAGGTTTTGGGAGAGGATCCAAGATGGCTGCGCCCAGGTGAACACCTAGCCGCAGCCGCACACAACAATTTCAATAAAATACAACTAAAATATAAAATAAACGGAGTTTAGAAAAAGGAAGGTCACGTTGATATTATAATAGTTTTTAAAAACTATAATTTTTTATATATTGAAGTTTTGAATGGTCCTTTAGATTCAAGTTAGGCTTTTTTATTTGCTCTCTTTGGAAGACTACATTATAAAATGACTCTAGGAATTTCTAAACAAAAACAGATCACCCATCAAATGTAAAAGCCCATATGAAGTACTTTGATACATGGAAGAATTCTTTTGAGATATGGCATGTCTATGTGTATAAATAAAGGATTATATAAATTCCTGTTTTGGGCCAGGAATAGCTGATGACAAACTCTTTTTCTCTCAAAACCATATGAAGAGAACAAAATCCTTTTTACTTTTTGCCAAGTGGTGATTATTCACTGATCATCATGTTTTATATTAACACAGTCCCAACTTACATATTTATATTGTACTACTTAGCCAAGCTTAATTCTTTTGTGTTTTTTTTAAAGACACTATCTTTACAAAGAAAGTAATTCAAATTAACCAACCATAACCTAAAAACATAAACAGAAATGATACTGAATAAGTATTGATTAAAATAAAAAGCACTTAAAAAAAACCCCAGCATGAATCCTTACCTACTCCAGAGGTTATTGATTCTGCATCAATGTCTCGAGCTCTTTTTCTTGCCACTTCAGCTAGTGCCAATTCACCCTTATCTAGTGCAAGGTAATGGATGTCCTTTGGAAAGAAAGCAAAAGAAAAGATTAGTCCAAAATGAATGTTGGTTAAGTTACAAAGGAGATTTTGAAAGGAAGAATTTATTGTTCAGATTACAAAGCAGACATGGCATATAGTGTTTTGTTTTTTTGCATTTTAATTATATTGAAATGGAGATTATTGCTGTAACTAATGGCAATTATAATATTTATACAAATCATTTAAAAATTTTAAATCAAATGTTTGACATACTCAGTTTTCTCAGGGAATAAAAATCTTAATTACTATTTTCCCTGTAAGAAGATTTTAATGAAGAAAAACCTCAACTTCTTCAAAATTCAGTTGTTTGGAATACTAGTACCAAATTTGTCTCTGATATTTATGTGCCTAACACGTATTACTTTAAGATTATTAATACTACTATTTGAATTCATTCAGTCAACAAAACATTGCTTCCTAAACTGCCAGTGGTTTTTGAGTACACAGCTCAATTACAATACCGATTTCAAAAAGCCCTGAAACCAGTGGGGAGGCCACTGTGAGTAACAGTTAATGAATTAAAGTGCTATGGAGTGAAAGAGAAGGAACTGATCCTTGATCTGAGTCTTGAAGGATAAATAAAAGTTATATTATACTAGGCATGGCAGGTCTCTCAATATGAGAAGTGTACCGGATGGACTTAGAACATTTCCAGAATGATTAATGGAATAATAATTTTACTGCAATCAAAAGGGAAAAAGAATGAGCAGTTTATCATGAAATATAAATAACCTGTAATCATGAAAAAATATAATTTCAAATGAAAACTTTAAATATATTTACTATTTGCAAAGTCTGTGGGGAGATAAGCACTTTACATTTACTGGGAATGTAAGAATTTACTATGTGTACCAGTTAAGAATGCAGGTTTTGTAACCAAAGAAAACACGTAATTTCAAGAGAAACATCAAAAGTGCTTTATTCAATGTCCATCTCTAGCTACACATTTTCTCCATCTTTCAGGTAATTTGTGGATACCATCCCAATAGAACTTTTCTTGTTTTGAGGCAAACCATTCAGAGACCCAATTTTCCACTTCTTCGTACATTTTGAAGTGCTGCTCAGCAAGTGCGTGTGCCATTGATCAGAACAAGTGGTAATCTGCAGGAGCAAGATCTTTGGGTGAGAATACTTCCCAGGCAAGATCTTTTAACGTGTCTTTAACTGGTTTTGAACTGTGTGATGATATGTCATCACGAAGCAAAGTCTTTTGGCATATTCTGGTCATTTTACGATCAAAGTGTGGTTTAAATTGATTATTTGTTGTTGGTAGTGATCAGTATTAACTTTCTCACCTGGTTTTAGCAGCTCATAATACTCCACACCTTCCTGATCCCATCAAATGCAGAGCATTTTCTTCCAGAAGCGATTTGGCCTTGCAGTAGATATTGATGGTTGACCTGGATCAACCCATGATTTTGTGTGTTTGGGATTCTCAAAATAAATCCGCTTTTCATTGCCAGTCACAATTTGATGCAAAAAAATACTTTCTTTTGTGCATTGAAGCAACATTTTACTGATGACTTTTTGGTTTTCCATTTGTCTTTTGTTCAGTTGATATGGCACCCATTTTCCTTCCTCTAAAATCTTTCTCATTGCTTGTAAGTGATCAGAAATTGTTTGCTAAGCAATGTTTAATCTTTTTGCAAGTTGTTTTTGAGTTTGACATGCATCTTCATCAAATAATGCTTGCAATTGTTGGTCTTTAAACTTTTTCAGTTGACCTGGTTCTTTTGTCTTTCACATTGAACTCATCACTTTTAAAGCATTTAAATCAGCGTTCACAAGTATTTTGAGATGGAGCATGTTCATCATAAGCTTTGCGAAGTATACCATAATCTTTCTTCAAAATAAAATAATTAAACTTGCAAATGCTTTTATGCATAAAAATATCTATGATGTTAACACCTTCAGCAAATTTGACATATGAAGTTTTGAAGCTCGCTCTTAATACAACAAAATAGCATACATATCAAATTGCATATATATCAACATATGTGTAACTCCATCTATTGAAAAAAATCCACATTAACTGGTACATCTAGTATATAGTAGGGGTTGATAAACTATGGCGTAAGAGCTAAAGTTGTTCCAGTGAGAACTAACATTGTCTGACTTAAAAGTAATGTCAGGTTATTATACATTTCCTGCACTGTCAAAGGTTAAAAAAAAAAAAAAAAAAGTGAGATATCCATTTCTACACAAATTCCCAGTAATATATTTTCCAATTTTAATTCACAGCAGAGTTTCTCAACCTTGATGCAAGTGCAAAGAAATTTCCATATTCCAAAGTCTATTTAACAGTGTAATTGAAGAACTTTAATGGGAAGTGATTAATTTGCAATGTAATGATATGCTAAAAGGCAGACTAGTCTTTTAGCTAATAGAATTCCAAAAATGACCTCTCACAGATTGATATCAATATATAGCAATACCTATCTTTGAGGAAATAAATCTGTAAAGGTGAAATATGTAAAATCTCATCACAGATCAGCATTAATAGATAAACATTTGCAACAGACTTTGATAACAAAGAACACAGATTTTCAACCCTAATTGAAATGTTATCCCCACCAAATTCAATTATTCACATTGATAGGCCTGTCTTACAAAAATTATACTCAATTATTTTAATTTTATCAGGAAAGATTTATGGAAATTTATTTCTTGGTATATATGCATATACTGTATAATAAATTTCAATTTTTCCTCTTGTGCCATAGCCTGCAATATTTGCTATCTGGCCCTTTACAGAAAAAGATTGTTGATTCCACATTTTAACAACATATCAGAATTTAAAATTTGCCTACATATTTTGGGAAATCTTCCTAAGAAAATTATATGACATTATATGTCCAAAATTGGTGATGAGAGCATAACTTATAAAACAATGAAAAATTGGAAACAATGTAAATATACTCCAAGTATCATGATGCTTTCATAATAGGTCCCTATATTCAATGAAAAATATTAATTTAAATATGCCATTGTATTCAATTTGCTAGTACTGTATTTAAGACTTTCGCATCTATTTCATAATTAAGAAAAGTCTATGCCTTTTTTTATTTTTTTCACTGCTAATAATCCCTTAGCTGTTATCAATCATTGCCGAATAACATAAATAAACACAAAACAGAAATATCTGTTTATGTCTGGAAAGATTATACACAATGAAGATATCAATTCTGAGCCCAATTAATCTGTAAAAATCAGTGGAACGACAATCAAAATCCCTTCAAAGTAGTTATGGGACTTACGTCAAATTTAAAAACGAAGTCAAGATTATCTAAAATTTATTCTGGTTAACATTAAGACTATATAACACTGGTAGGCAGACATATAAACCAAAGAAAAAGAAATATACCCATATAAAAATGCTTTTTTTTTATTTTGTGAGTTACTCATGCTAATACTTTGTGTTTGGCAGTGATGTAAGTGTTGGTTCTAAAACCTGTGGTCCACAAATTACTTCTGGAACATTTTCTCTCTTTCACTCTGGCTTCTTTCTCAATTCTATGATTACTCCTCTTTTTATTTTTTTAATTGTTATAAGGAATTGGATCATTAATTTGAAGGTAAACCTTAATACTTCTGAAGTTATATCTATTCCATGAAGGTTTTCATTTCTTAATCTTTCCATTTGGAACATATTATAGTACAGTCTATTTACTTGGTGATACTTGTAGGCCTCTTAACTATTCATAAACAGGAATATCTCAGAGATATTGAGGGTCTAGTTCCAGACCACCACAATGAAGTAAATATTGCAATAAAGCCAGTCACACAAAATTTGGTTTCTCAGTGCATATAAAAGTTATGTTCCAGTAAGTGTACAACAGCATTATGCCTAAAATATGTACACATTTTAGTTAATGTATTAGTTAAAAAACACTTTGTTGCTAAGAAATGCTAAGCATAATCTGAGTCTTCATGAGTTGTAATCTTTTTGCTGGTGGAGGGAGGGTCTTGATGTTCATGGGTACCGACTGATCAGGGTGTGGTTAACTGAAGGCTGAGTGGCTGTGGCAATTTCTGAAACAGGACAATGAAGTCTGCAGCATCCACTGACTTCCTTTCACAAGGGATTTATCGATAACATGGGAAGCTGTCCGACAGCATTTTACCCACAGTAAAACTTTTTTCAAAACTGGAGTCAATCCTCTCAGGCCCTGATGCTACTTTACCAACCAAGTTTAAATACTGTTCTAAACCTTTTGTTGTCATTCTCCACAGCATCTTCAGGAGTAGATTCCATCTCAGTAAGCCACTTTCTCTGCTCATCCACCAGAAGCAACTCCTCAGCCATTCAAGTTTTAGCATGAAATTGCAACAATTCAGTCATTTCTTCAAGACTCCACTTCCAATTTTATTTCCCTTGCTATTTCTACGATATCCGCACTGAAGTCTTGTACCTCTCAAAGTCGTCTGTGAGGGTTGAAATAAACTTCTTCAAAACTTCTGTTAAGGTTGGTTTTTTTGTTGTTGTTAATCCTCACCCAATGATATTTTTCCCATTGATTTTTAGGGAGAGTGGAAGGGATGGGGAGAGACAGAGAGAAATATTGACGTGAGAGAGACACATCAATTGGTTGCCTCCCATTCACACCACAACTAGGGGCGGGGATCCAGCCTGCAACACTTCAGTCCATGGGCCAGTGCTCTAACCACTTAGAAAACTGTCGAGGGCAAGGTTGATATTTGATAGCTGAATCAAGAATATTCTTAATGGAATCTAAAATGGCAAATCATTTCCACAGGTTTTCAAGTTACTTTGTCCAAATACATCAATGTATTTTTTAAGTAATAAGATTTGAAAATCAGATTTACTCTTTGTTCCATGGGCTGCAGAATAGATATGTTAGCAGCTTTGAAAACAGCAATAATCTCGTATATTTAAATTAGAGCTCTTGGGTAGCCAGATGAATCGTCAATGAGCAGTAATATTTTGAAAGGAATCATTTTTTTCTGAGCAGTAGGTTTCA